TACAGACGGACAAACAGACAAACAGACAAACAAACAGAATGAAACTTTTCCGGTCAGTGGAGTAATGGGCTTCGCTAAATATAAACTTAATGATATGGGTGAATTTTCTTTTTCAAAAATAAATTAATTGCCACCAGTTTATCAAGTCTCAAGCTTGAGCGAACAGACCCTCCAGTTTCTCTTGGCGCCCCGGAAAACAGTCTTCGTTTGCGACACAAGGGCGCCGCGCCGCGAGCTGGAGGTCCTGCTGCTGCGCCGAGGCCGGCCGAGGCCTGCACGCCCGTGAATCCCGTCAGAGTGGAATGAAATGCAACGCCCTGCTGCAGGACACGCCATGCAGCTCCTCTGCGGCCCAGTGACCCAGTTCCAAGGCCACGGAGTGCGCCGCTGCCGCCTCCGCCGCCCCACCGCCACGTCGTGAGGTGGGCGGGGTGGGCCGGCCGGCCGGACCAGGTGGCCCCCTCTGGCTGTCATGTTCGGCCCAGCGCCGCCGGCCCATCCGGGCTCGCCCGCCCGGCGCCGCCCTGGATCCCGCGATATGCATTGAGGACCGCGCGTCACCGAATCGTGGCGGGCGGGGTGGGCCCGGGTGGGCCGGGCTTGCTCCCGGTGGCCCGGCGGTGGGCCATGCGGGCTTGTCGTCACTCCGACCGACAATGTAGGCCGCGGCTTCCAATTATAAGTGGCACACACGCGAACACCAACGAACCTGAGTGTGACACTGAAATCCAATCACAATCGTCGTTGGTCGTTGTTATTATTTGAAATGTGTTGTCTGATTCTTGACATGACTTCGCTGAAACAGTGCCCTCAGCGCGCAACCACCGTGTGAACCCGCCTGGGTAGGAACCGGGTTGACGGGGTTGACCCAAGCCCACGTTACCTAAGTACACTTTCGAATTACCTAAGGACGCATCAGAGTTATCCGGGTTCCTCTGGTGGAACCGGGTAGAACCGGGTGGGACCGGTTGGAACCGCGCCTGGCGGGTAGGCAGTACGACAGACGGGTGCGATGTGTTGCCCACCTACCAGGCACACTTCTCACTGGTTTCTCTGGGAATCCGTCCTTATTGGTGATGAAAAGTAAAGAGTTGCGGTACGTAAGGTCAGAGAGAAGGCGAAACTTGTTCGTACTGCCGAGGCAAAGTCATCGCCCATCATGGAGTCGAGCCGATGCCGATACCGGCGTGGTGAGGGCTTGGTGAGGGTGATAGCCACCAAGGCCCGCCGCCAGCCGGCGCCGGGCGAGAGACGGAGAGAGAGACAGGGGAGAGAGAGAGGGAGAGAGAGAGGGAGAGAGAGAGAGAGCGAGAGAGGGGCAAGGGAAAGGGAGAAATTTATAGGGAGCGAGGGAGAGGGATGCGAGGTGCCGTTGTAGGTCCGCCACATGTGGGCGCCTGGGCGCGGGTGGCGCGGGTGCAGCAGAGTCATTGCCGTATAAATGGGCAGGCGCCGGCGGCCGGTGACACCGTACCGTACCGCACCGTGCCGCCCGCGCCGCCGCGACGCCCCTGTCGGCCGCTTCCCACCGCAGTGCCATCGCCGCGCCGCCGCCGCCACGCCAGCCCGCTCGGCCTCGCACCACGACAAGACCCTCCCCGACGATGCGCGCCCCGGAGCACAAGGGCTGCAGGCTGCTGGTGGCGCTCGCACTGCTGACCGCCATCGCCGGTCACGCCCGAGGTAGGCGTCGAACATGGTCCGCGACGAGCCTTGAGCGTGTGTGTGAGAGAGAGTGTCTGAGTGCGATCGAGTAACCGGCCGGCCCGGCGTTGGGCCAACCGCTCTTGAGGAAGCGGTGGAGCAACAACAGCGCTCGACGAAATATGAGTTTCTAGTTCGCTAAAGAGGAAAAGTTTTTCATTGCCGCCGTGGTGTGGCGGGGGCCCCCGGGGCGGGCCGGGCCGGGCCGGGCGTGCAGTTTGGAGGTGCGAGACAAGCTCAGGGTGTGTAGCGGCGTATCTGTCAGGGACGGGCGCCCGTTTGACGGGTTCGACTGCCCGCCGGCGGGCGCCTCACAGCGAGTGTCGTTAACGCCCCTTGTGTCCGCCCCGCGCCCGCGGCGCCCCTCCAGGTATCGTCCGGCGCAGGCGCGGCTTCGGCGACGGCGGCCAGGAGTACGGCTACGTGGACGTGCGCGACGGCGCCCACATGTTCTACTGGCTGTACTACGTCAACGGCGGCGACACGCCGGCCGACAAGCCGCTCGTCCTCTGGCTCCAGGGCGGCCCCGGCGCCTCCTCCACCTCCTTCGGCAACTTTGAAGAGATCGGACCCCTCGACTCGAACCTCAACGCCAGGAACGCGACCTGGGTTAGTGTTTGTGATGGTGCAGTGCGACACGCGTTGGTTGTTGCGCGTACGAGGCTGATGGACTTTGCGGCTCATACGTGAGGTGCCCCCAGGTCAAGTACGTGAATGTCATGTTCGTGGACAACCCGGTGGGGACGGGCTTCAGCTACGTGGACAGCACGTCCAAGCTCACCACCAACAACAAGCAGATCGCGTCCGATCTGGTGGAGCTGACGCGCGGCTTCCTCAAGAGGCACCCCCAGTTCAGGAACATACCCGTCTACGTGTTCAGCGAGTCATACGGAGGCAAGATGGCGGCCGAGTTTGCGCTAAACCTGTTTAAGGTACGGAAAACCAACAATAAGGTAGCAGATGGTTGTTTCACTGAAAAATGTTTATTAATATTTTGCGTGGTTTCTGCTATTTCCAGGAGAAGAAGGCGGGCACGATCGACGTGAACATCCAGGGTGTGGCGCTAGGCGACGCGTGGATCTCCCCCGTCGACACGGTCCTGTCGTGGGCCAACTACCTGCTGCAGACTGTAAGTCCCTCCACCTCGTCAACTTGTTTGTCGCCCGGGGCGTCGTCGGGCCGCTCTGCAACGCGTATCGCAATGCGCAGGGCATGGTGGACACGGAGGGCTACAAGGCGGTGGACAGAGTGGCGCAGCAGACTCAGAGGGCGGTGCTCCGCGGCCAGCACGCGCAGGCCACACTCCTCTGGTCGCAGACCGAGCTGACCATCTCGCGGGTCACGCAGGGCGTGTCCTTCTACAACATCCTGGACAGGATGCCGACCAAGGCCCACGCCCGGGCCGACAACAGCACAGGTACGAGTAGGCTGATGCAGACCCTGTCTGTTCACCCGTGCGTGCCCCCGCGAGCTCCACCGCCAGCCCGCCGCCGCGTCCACCATGCCCTGAGCGCGCGCTGCCGCGGACGTGCAGAGGACGCCGTTGGAGTACATGACCGCCCCCCGCTCCCCTCCCCAGGGCATGGTGGACAGGCGGGGCCACCGCGCCGTCCAGGTCGCCGCCAACAAGTCCAGCGCGGCGGCCGCGGTGGGCAAGTGGCGCGAGGCCACGCGCCGCTGGGAGGCCGTCGAGGGCGACGTGCTGGCCGCCACCCGGCACGCCGACTTCTACAACATCTTGATGCCCGTCGAGGCCAGGGAGGAGGAGCCCAAAGCTAAGAGCGCCACCACAGGTTGAGTGTCCTCCAGCGCTGCAGTGGACGCTTGCGCGAATTTTTATTGCACTCTAAAACGACCGTCGTGGCCCATGTCGTCGCTAGACGCCGCCGAGTGCGCTGAGTATAGCTCGCCCTTTGCGCAGATTTCCTGTTCCGGGTCATGTCGGAGCGCATCGCCCCGGACGAGCGCCTCGACGCCCTCATGAACATGCGCGTCAAGCCCGCCCTGGGAGTGGTCCCCGAGCGCGTGCGCTTCCGCACCACCAGCGCGCAGGTGTTCAACGCGCTGTACGCCGACTTCATGAAGCCCGTCACCCACATCGGTAAGCTCACGACTGTTTCTCGGGTCTGCCGCCCTGATGAGTTATTATTCTGATGAGCCTGCCCTTGCCGTCGCCACAGTCGAGCGCCTGCTCTCGGAGACGGACCTCAAGGTCGTCGTGTTCAACGGCCAGCTCGACCTGATCGTGTCCACGCCGGGCACCCTGGCGTGGGCCGAGAGGCTCAAGTGGCGCATGGGCGAGTACTGGGTCACCAAGGCGCCGCGCCGCGCCCTCGCCGTCGACGGCATCCTAGAGGGCTTCGTCAAGAGCGCCGGCAAGTTCAGTTTCTACTGGATCAACCGGGCCGGCCACATGGTGAGTGATGATCCGTCTTATTGAGCTTGTACTCGACAAAAACGGTTCCACTGTGCACTCCCCACCCTTCCTGCCCCACCAGGTGCCCGCCGACAACCCAGCCGCGTCCATCGAGATGCTCAGGCAGGTGACCGAATTCGACAAGAGAGAAATAACGACTGAATAACTGCGGCACACCGCGCCGACTAGTCACTTAGAATAAGTACCAAAGCTGAACGCGTTTCAGAAGAGAGAGTTAGCCAATAAAACGGAAATGTGTGACAAATCAAAACACTCGACTGATTATTATTTCCCCTTATCAGTCGGCCCACTTGCCGCGCGGGCCGACGCGGTATGCCTCGTCACCTCGCTGGCGGGGGCGTCTAGCCGAGCAGGCCGAGCAGGCCGAGCAGGCCGAGCAGGGCGTGCGGGGCAGCGCGCGACTCTCACAGACGGTTCTAACTGCGCCACTCACGGCACGACCCCACGTTTTCGGGCTCGACCCGTCCGTGATTGGGTGTATCTAAGTCTCTCTCTCTCTCTCTACCTGCGGTCCGCGCCCTTATCATCGGGCACGAGTGGGAGAGAGATAGCGGGGCATATAGCGGGGCGGAGCGACCACACGCCCTGCAGAGCGGCTGCAAGGCGCCCCGTCGCGCCAGTGTGCACCGTTAACGCCCGGAGACAACATGAGCGCTTACACGGTGGCGGCGGCGTGCGCCGTGCTGGCCGTCCTCCTCGCGGCCGGCCCCGACGGCGTGCAGGCCAGGAAGGGCTTCGGCGACGGCGACCAAGAGTTCGGCTACGTGGACGTGCGCGACGGCGCGCACATGTTCTACTGGCTGTACTACATCCAGCCCGAGGACAAGTCCGCCGTCAAGCCCGCCGACAAGCCGCTCGTCATCTGGCTGCAGGGCGGGCCCGGCGCCTCCTCCACGTCGTACGGCAACTTCATGGAGCTGGGGCCCCTGGACGCGAACCTCAAGAGAAGGAACTCGACGTGGGTAAGCGTTTAAGCCCGCCCATATTGGCCCCCGCCCAAGCGGGTCAAGAGGGACTCCCCACTTAGCGCGCCCGGCCTGTTCCAGGTGAAACACGTCAACGTTCTCTTCATCGACAACCCCGTGGGCACGGGCTACAGCTACGTGGACCACTACTCGCAGCTCGCCACCGACAACAAGCAGATCGCGGCGGACCTGGTCGCCTTCACCAAGGGCTTCATGAAGACCTACCCGCAGTTCCAGAAGACGCCGCTCTACATCTTTTGCGAGTCGTACGGCGGCAAGATGACGGCAGAGTTCGCCCTGAGGCTGTACGAGGTAAGTTGAGAGCTCCCGCTTGCGAGGTCGCCTGCGAGGTAGACTATCCCGCAGCACCGGCGCGTCCGGCGGGCTGGCCCACCCGCCCAGGCGTCCGCTCAGCAAGGTGACGTGCCTCTGCCTCACTCGGACCGACGACATGACACATGCTACGCCTCTCGGCCCACAGGAGCAGAAGGCCGGCAACGTGCTCAGCAACCTCAAGGGCGTGGCGCTCGGCGACTCCTGGATCTCCCCCATCGACTCCGTCATGACCTGGGCGCCCTACCTGCTGCACACGGTGAGTGCGGAGCAAGAACGGGGAGGTATCGGCGAGGGGAAAACGACTCTTGGGCAATGCGCTGGACACGGCCTGTGTCGATCCGGGGGGGGCTGATCTGGGTTTCGTCTGGGGTGATCTGGAGTTAATCCGGGGTATCTGGGGTTGATCCGAGGTGAATCTGGGGCTAATTCGGGTTGAATCGGGGTTGATCTGAGTTGGTTTGGGGGTAATTCGGGAGTTGGTATGGGGGTAATTCGGGGTGAATCCGGGGGTAATCCGGGGGATAATCCGTTGTGTCCTCGGACGCGCACGCAGGGCATGGTGGACCAGCGCGGCTTCGGCAAGCTGGACGCCGTGGCGCAGCTCACGCAGCGGGCCGTCGAGCGCGGGCGCTTCTTCGAGGCGTTGCAGTTGTGGGGGCGGGCCGAGTCGGTGACGCTGGAGGTCACGGACGGCGTCGACTTCTACAACATCATGAGTCGTATCACCAAGGAGAAGGCGGCCCGCGTCAGGCTGGCGGCCCGCAACGGTGACTTTCTAGGTTGGTGCGTGTGGGGCCCGCGTAACAAGAGAGGCAGGGCGGGAACGGGAAGTGGTCAGGACATCGATGACAAACGAGAACAAATAGGTTCCCTTGTCCGCGATGACCGGTCCCGCGACGCGACGGAACAGCGCGGAGTGAGGCTGTATCAATTTGCAAGGTCCACCATTCCCTTGCCATTTTGTTATTCTTTTACATAGTTTGCATGGTTTTGCCGTCGTCTGGCGAGCTTAAAGAGGCCGTAAACGTTTTTTAAGAAATAATAAAAACGGTTTGATATGTGACTTCTGGTGTCGTAAAGTGAACGAGGAACTTGGCAGAGGAGCTTTGCGGTCTTTTGATGCGCCTCTCTGGCGCCGCGCGTTGTTGCAGGGCATGGTGGACACCAACGGGTACAACCTCATCATGAAGGGGGCGCTACAGACAAAGGACTTCGTCGAGAACGGCCTCTGGGACGAGGCCACGGACGAGTGGGGGAACCTCGAGGGGGACATAGACTCGCTCACGTTCGGCGTCGACTTCTACAACATTCTGTCGAAAATCCAGGCCGGAGAGGAGGGCAGCTACCGCGGTCGCCTTCGCGGTCCGACCGCCAGGAAGCCGATGGGTAGGTGGGGGTCATGCTCATTGCTCAAACCATTATCAGCAATCCACTTCAGAAATAGGTTCAAAAAGTCCCCAAGGCGAAAGTGTTTGACTGCACTTTGCTGATCAGAAAGTGATTACAATGTCGATTTTTAGCGGGCATAATGCATCGGCTGCGGCTGTGAGCTGCCGCAGTAAAACCTCGTTAACGATACAAGGATCATTTCCATAATTCGCGAATTGTGGTTTCGGTCCGCCGCGTCGCCCTTCCTTGAACACACACGGCGGGCTTAGCTGATGTGTACGTTGCGGTTTGTTTGCTTTTTTTGTGTGTTTTTTGGGGGACAAAAACAAAAGAGCGTGTACGTTCAAACGTCGACCGCGGTCATAAAGTCTGGATAAGCCTTGTCAGCCGAGAGACACTCGGAGACACCGACGGCGACCGTTGTGGTGTGGCGACGACGACCGGGGACGGGGCGGGTATCGTGTGCGACCCGGGGGGCCGAGGGGGTTACGCAACGACTACTCGTGACCTGCTGCCCCCTGTGCTCTTACTTTTCAGAGGTGCTCTACCATAACCACGTGGTCAGCGCGAGCGACGACGACCTCAACAAGCTGATGGACGAGAAGGTGAAGCCGGCCCTGGGTGTCATCCCGGACGCCGTGCGCCACCAGACCTCCAGCAGCGCCGTGTTCAACGCGCTGGGCACCGACTTTATGAAGCCCGTCACCAGCATCGGTGAGTGGTTGGGCTGCCGCGGGACAGCTAGGGTGTTGGTGTTGGTGAGGTCATGATGAGGTCGTGATGATGTCGTTTCTTGTATTCTTTTTTCGTCCAGTGGAACAGCTGCTCAACGAGACGGACGTCAAAGTAGTGGTTCTTTCGGGACAGCTCGACCTCATTGTCGATACACCAGGTGATTACGGCACGGCCTCCAACATTTAATAAACACGCCGTTTTTCAGACGGGGAAAACACCATTTTATTATTGTATACTTTTGTTTCAGGCACCCTGGCGTGGGTCGAGCGACTCCACTGGAAGATGGGTGACTTCTGGGTAAACCAGGCAACTCGCGAACCGTTGGTAGTCGACAACATCATCGAGGGATTCGTCAAGGATACTAGTCGGCTCGCATTCTACTGGATCAGCAGGGCAGGCCACATGGTAAGCGCACAGAGGAAGCCTTGCCTCGCCTCGCGCGCAGTCACTCAGGGGAGACTTATCGCATCCGTTACCTATTCCCTCAGGTCCCCGCCGACAACCCCGCCGCCTCCATCGAGGTGCTCAAGAGGGTCACTGGGCTAAACAAGAAAACAGGAAACAATGTAGACGCTTAATCGGTGTTTGTGATTTATGAACTAGTTAATCAATAAAGCATTCCGGTAAAGCTAAAACGGTGAAGAATGCGGGAAAAAAGAAAACGGAACTCGCTATGCTTTAACATGTGACTTCCGTTTTCTTGTTCCCTCCATTCTTCTGCATTTTAGCTTTACCGGAATGCTTTATTATCGATCGCGTTCTAAAATAAATGACGAGTTTTATCATTTAGTGTTTGTTTTTGTGTATTCCTCTCTGTACTTTGTACACACACAGCGTGTCAGGGCTCAGGGCTACGGCACAACAGTATGCGGAATGCGCCATGGCCCCCAGGAGGGTAGGCAAGCCCGCTGACTGTTGTGTCGTGGCCCTGACACACGGCCGGTGCACCCACTCGTTGGAGTGCTGCTGTTGGTGGCGAGCTTCAGGATGGCCGCGGCCGCGGCGGGGTAGTCGGTGGCCACCATGTGGCCGGCTCGGTGAACCCAGAGCGCGGTCAGGCGGCCCACCCGTCGGAGGGCGCCCGCCACCTCCCCGCCGACGATCAGAGGGCTTCGGGGCGCGGCGCGAAACGCCTCGGCGAGCGGCCAGCTCAGGCGGTCCAGCCACGCCATGGTACCTGGGAGGACAAGCTCGTATCGTCAGATTTTAGTCTGCTCAAAAATACCGATCGTGGTAAATAATTGTAACAGAGTCCAACTTTTCAACTCACCCGCCATATTGGTGAAGACGTCGCACTGTCCGGCGTAGACCAGCACGTCGAGGTCCGTCTGGCCCAGGAGACCCTCCATGGCCTCGGTGGCGGGCTTCATGAACTCGTCGTACTGCGCCACGAACACCTGGCTGTTGTCGTTCTGGTGCAGGACCGTGCTCGGCAGCCCCAGCGCCCGCCGCACCTCGCCGTTCATCAGCTCGGCGGACCCGCACGGCACGGCGGGTTTGCCCCCCTTTTCTGCAATCGATCGGTTCATCTGAATCTTCCACCAAACGAATACGATCCGGAATGGGAATGGGCTCCAAACACACTTATTCACTTACTGCCATCGGCTTTGGCTGGGACCATAAAGTTGTAAATGTTGACCCCCTCGGTCAGGTTGGACATCATGGTCCACGTCGAGGACCACAGACTCGTGGCGTATCGCCACTCGCCGGCCTCGGCAGCTGCGCGCGCTCTAGCGGCCGCCGCGGCAAGCTGGGACTTCCCGCGGCTGTCGAGCAGGCCCTGCGCAGCGGTGAGCGTCGCGCGCCAGACTACCGTAACATGGCCGGGAGGGAAGCACAAGGGGTGCACAAGGTGGGACACTCACCAGGTGAAACAGATAGGGCGACCAGGACTCGACGTGATCCACTCCGGAGAGCCAAGAGTCACCCATCACAACCCCTTTTAAGTTGGCCGCCAGTCGGCCGTTCGCAATTTCCTGAAAAATTATTTTATGTCTATATGGACTCCCAAAAGGTCAAAGTGTCCATCCATTCTACGTGCGACTCACCCGATAGAGACACAGCCCAAACTCGGCAGCCACCTTCCCGCCGTAGGACTCGCCGAAAATGTACAACGGCACGGTCCTGAGATCCGGGAGACGATCCAGGACCTGGCGCATCAACTCGACCAGGTCGAGGCTCGTTTGGCGGTTGGTTCGCGCCAGGGCAGCCGCTGAGTCGACGTAGCTGTACCCTGTGGCCACGGGGCTGTCGACAAACATGAGGTTCACGTCGTCCACCTGGAGTACAGAAGTGAGGTGGTGGTGGTGGTGTTGTTGCATAGGAGCGTCCCGGTCTCCCGGTACGAAATAGAATATTCAACGACTTCGAAAAGACGTCCTCGATGTCCTGTTAAAGGTGCTATCCGACAACAAACGCTACCCTAGGGAGCGATTCGCAGGTGAACGTGCGCACCAAACGTTCCCCTGCCTATAGTCCTGCAGTCGGGCCCACGGGAACCGGGACCGGGCACCGGGAAGGGCCACCGTCTCCGCACAGCTGCTTGGCGGGTCGGCCTACCCAGCGCTTGGAGGCGCCATCATTGGCGGCGCCTTCGCTTCGAAAGCGCCGGGTGGCTGAACCCTGCTCGCGCCTGGCCACCTGACCTGGCCTTCGGTCGCGGCCGCCATGGAACATCCAGAAAGTGCGTCCGTTTTCCCCCAGATCCATTCGGTAAATAAGGGGAGCACGGCGCCTGCGAGACTCGGGGTAGGCCACCCCGCGGTACAGGAGTGCACTGCGGGTACGATGTTGCCTACCTATCAGGCGCTACGAGGGCCTCTATCTTAGCAGTTGCGGAACGGCGAATAAAGGGCGTTCTTTCTGGATGAACCCAACCCCAATACTCACCCAGCTGGCGTTGCGCGGCCTCCCCGCGGGGTCCAGCGGCCCCAGCTTGCCAAAGTTGCCGTACGAGGAGGCGGCGGCGCCGGGCCCGCCCTCCAGCCACACGACGAGCGGCCGCCCCGCCGGCGAGGCGCCGCCCCCCGCGTAGTACAGCCAGTAGAAGAGGTGCGCGCCGGGCCGCACCGTCGCGTAGAGTCCATTCCCTAAATTTTGTCCACCGGCTCGGCAAAGGAATTGGAAACAATCGCACCGCTTGCTTTGTTGCCGTCATAAACGGCAGGGTTACGCTCATTAAAAGGGTCGAATCCCTTGCCTAGACCTGCCGAGACATCCGTCCGCCTCCGCACGCTGCCCCAGCGAATCGCGCCTCGCCGGTCGCTGGCTGCCATTGGCGTTGGCAGGTCTAGCAGAGGGCCGGGACCCATCCAGCGGCAGGTCTTCACGCATCGTAATGACGCTCACAATAGACCTCGGAAAGCAAAGGCCGAGCCGGTGGACAAAATTTAGGGAATGGACTCTACCCGTACGCCTGGCCGCCCGGGCCGTAGCCTCGCCCCGCTGCAACATGCAGCAGTGGTCGTCGGGATCGAGAAGGACCTCTTGCTGGTCCACGTCGGTTCGGACCGACTCTATTTTAATTTTGTTTTGGTTATCGTTTAGTTTTACCTTGTGCAGGGATTGGGCCGGCCCGCAGACCCAGGAAGCCCAGGAGCACCAGCCCCAGAGCGCCCACCACGGCCACCGAACAGAGGCGCGCCATCTCCGTCCTCGTCCTCGTCCTGGACGCGCCGCCACGCGCCCGCCGTAACGTAACGAGTGCGACCGAGCCGAGCGGCGCCCGGGCCAAACGCGGCTGCTCACATGTGGGCCGTTATCTTGAAAAGGACCGCGATAAGCCGTGGAAGGATATGAAACGGATGGAAATTTGAGAGGACTCCTCACTTGGGGAAATAATTTGAACGGTACGAGTTTGTTTCAACATTGTGTTTTATTATCATTTAACCATGAGCATTATGAACATTGAGCACATTTTTTTTTTTGTGTTGACTCTGGCAGAAGTTTAAAATTCTAAACATATGCTTTCATAATTTGGAATGAATGCCAACATATTATTTTGAAAATGTACGTATACATACACAAAATCATTGGCCAGGGTTAATTAATTTAAAATCGAAACTTTACAATCCGAAATAGATTAAGATTCCATTACACTTAGCAGTGAAAATGGATCAACAATACAATACTGATTGCAGCCTTAAAATACCTAAAAACAGATACAACTTTTAAAATATAGCAACAGCATCTGTTTATCCTAAAATAATTAAAATCAGTCTTAGATTATATTAAGGTGGGCAAGTAACTTTACAACACTTTGCATTTTCCAGTCTATAAGAAGATACCTAATTTTATAATATCTTCTCGGGATTTTTAGACTCATTAATCCACCAATTATTTTAAAAAGGCATCACAGCAAGGAGTTATTTTTTCTCCCTTGGTAGTAAACAAACAACAACATTATTAAAAGTCTTCCATTGTGGAAAACATATCAAGCCATAGTTAACAATTGATTTAAAAGACCAGTCTTGGTAAATTGAATTGGTCCTGTAATGACCAGCAAACTTCCCACCCTAACATAAATATATGTTATATCATTTTAGTGAAAGCCTGGGATTTGGAACTTTCAAGCACCAGAATAAAAACAATAACAATCACAGGCTTGCTTTACATGCCTGTTCTGGAAAAGCAAGCATTAGGTTGACTTATCCTAGCTAATAATATTACTTAAAAAGAAAAGAGCACATTTCTTTGGTATATATAAAAGTCATTTCATATTACTTAATTGATTCAAATGTACCTTTAGCATGTGCTTAATTAATTTTCCACATTGGTACTCAATTTTTATAGAAATCATGTGGTTACATTGGTCTCAACTGGTTGTAACAGATCACATTTCTAGGATTTCACAGATAAAACTAAAGTGTAATTATTTGGAACTTTTGTGATTTTTTATTTTGATTTACTAGTTGATGGTGAGGATGGTTGATGAGTTGGAGAAATATTCGGTGAAAGAGCTGGCGATTGGGTTGGTGTTGGGTTCAATGATGGAGTTGTTGATGCGATTTTCTTTTGAAGTCTTGCTTTCTAGAAGGGCATATTTTACATTAGCGATGAGGATACATGCAATGTCTTATACATTCTGCAAACAAGTAGACTTACCAATCCAGTCTCCTGTTTTCTCATTTTCTCAACATTTTGCATTTTTTCAACCTTTTTCTTCGTTGCATTCATTCTGAAACAAGACAAAACATTGGTGCATAATTTTCACAATAAGTAAACATCTTTGAGGAAAAATTATTAACATACTTTTCTTTGGCAATTCTTTGTTGTTCCTTCTTCCAAATGTCTTTAAAATCAGAACAGAATGGAGACCAAAGAGGAAAGAAATCTCTGGGAGCAACTTCTGCTAAATTGGACGTGCCTTTGGGTTGGTATTGGTAGAATTTTAATAAATGGATGAATCTGTAAGAGAAAAGTAGCATCTTTTGTTGTGCAATAACTGGAAGGATAACATAATGCTCTGAGCCAAAGACAATTCTTACCTATCCATGCATTCCTTGAGACTGTCGATCTCTCCCTGAACCCGCTTTGAAGCAGATAACAGAAAAGTCTCCATCTTTTCTTTGAATGGTTGAAGATTCTCCTCAGATGAGGCAAGTATAACCCTCTTTGTTTTTGTCTCACATGCTATAAATATAGAAAATTGTTTTTTCCCAAACTTTGCACACACATTGGCAGAAATATACTTAAAATTTAAAAAACAATTCATACCTTGGAGTTGCTTTTCCAATTTTTTTAAATCTGTAGTTAAATCATCAAACATAACTGTTCCAGCTTTATCAATGTCTGCTGGTTCAGGAACTGGCAAGGGCTCTGTAACTGGATCGGATATCTTTTTCATGTATGATCGAACAATGAAGTGAAGCAATGTTAACTGAAAATTTAAGATAGAATTAGTACAGCCCCTCAGTTGACAGTAATGAAAGTTGTTCAGAAAATGTAAGATAATACACAATGTTACCGAATTGTCTGATGACTTCACATCCCTTAGCTTGGGCAAGATTTCCAATCCAAACCCATCAGCTTGACCTCTGGTTCTGTTGCCTCCATTCATAAAATTTCCCAGGGCCAAAATAATTGCAAGAACAGTCTTTAAGCTTTTTGATTCCATGAGTTGCTGTAAAAATATCAGTAAGGAATAAAATTAAAGCAACGAAACAAATATTTTAGTTTTGATAGGAGCACAGATTGAAATATTACCTCAGAGGTGCTTTTTATGTTATTTAATTTACTCTCTATACTATTAATTCTATCCTCAAACTCTGATTGGAACATGAAACATGCTATTCTTTCTGCAAAATTGGGTATCTCAGCTAATTCATAGAGAAACTGTTCTGGTTTATCCAGAGGGATATCTGGGCTATTGGAAACATGTGCACGAATTGCTTGCAGCTCCTCATCTGATGCACGCTACAACAGAAAAATAATTTAAATAAATATGCGAAAGAATGAGTGGTTTCAGTAAGGTTCAATATTATAAAACAACTCCGGTGTATACTAACCACTTCATAAATTTGTTGAAGGGCTTCTAAGCTAACCTCTGTAGTATCAAGGTTGTATATAGCTGTTGAATAAAATACAGAATTAAGCAAACAAAAAAATGGGTTTTCATAATTATTATATTTTAGGTTTTACTTACCATGTTCTATTTCAGAAAAGTCTTTGTGTAAACTTGAAGCCAGAATACCTATGTTTTGAGATCGTTTACTGTCCAGAATTTTAATAGCCTGCTGTTTGGAAGGCTTCTCTGTCTTTTTCTTTGTGGGTTTTCTCTCAATAACTTGTCTTGAGAACAATGAAGTAAAGGCATCCATATCTTCAATCTTGGCCTCCTCCAGCTGTTCCCAAAGAGGTGGTGGTGTAACCGTCGCACCACCATTGCTGGGAGTTTCAGGAGTGGTTATGGTGACTGTGACAGGGACCACTATTCGTGTCCAATACAATGGTTTCATGCTGACTGGTGGATTCAGCGGTTCTTTCCTAAACACTAAGAGACAAAGAGGCACAAAAAAAAGAAAATTTAACTTATGACAAGAACTGAAATATTAGATTTTAATGTCATAAGGGAAAAAGAATAACTTACTAGCTTTCTGAGCGTTCCATCCACCTGTTGGCGGCGTTGGGAAAGGCTTCGGTCCAGCGAGCCCTGGCGGAGGTGGCGGAACACTTCCTGGAGGTGGGGGTGGAGGTGGAGCGCCTCCTGGTAAAGGTGGGGGAGGTGGAGCCCCAGGCATAGGCGGCGGGGGC